AAGCCCTGACCCCGATTTACAGAAAATGTCAACACATCTCCAGCATAATCGTGGCAACAAACATCCAATACCGACAAACAAAGCCATCACTGAAATTCCCCAACACATGCGCTAATAAGAGGAATTCTCATTTTGATAATGCAAGTGTAAATGTACTGGAAGGTGGCCATATTGAATTCACTTTCAAACTCAACGGTGAACAGTTGTCAGCGCAACATACGTGTGGCAATATGAGGAAGCCTATTAGCCAATCCATTGGGTTCCCTCAATCTCGTGTTGTAATATTGAAAATGGAAAGATTATTGCATCTTCATTGGGATTATTAATGCATTTTCGTTGGCGATATTTTCGTAAATGCGATGAACAATGGAGGAATTATGATTGTTTAAGCATTGGCAATATTCACTATTGAAATCTCATTGTCACAGATTGATGGAATTACAAATATTGGAAAGATGATCAGCCCTTGTTTCAATTCAATCTAGAGTGAGAGTAGATTTATAGAATAATTTGGTAACCCAGATGTACAAATAAATGAATAAATGTCATGACCATGTCGAACAGGAGATTTTGTCCACTCGCCATTTCCCACATGACCCCCCTGATCCTTATTCTGACCCTTGTGATCCTCATTCCGACCCTCGTGAACCTTATTTGGATCCTTAATCTGACCCTCATTACAACCCTCGGGAGTCTTATTTTCACACGGTGACCCTTAGTTTCTGACTCTTGATTTTTGACCCCCTTGACCCTTATTTAGAATTTTACTCTGACCCTTGTGACCCTTAATCTGAACCTGAAAATTGCAAATTCATTGAATATCCCAGAAATCAACTGATTTTTCAATAACAACATGTTTGGAAAGTTCATGTGCATTCGTTGTTAAAAATTTCATGATTTTTTATTTGAAATTTCAAGAGTAATTTTCTAACAGTGCAGACTGAACCCCTGAAATCGTTCGCTTCCTCAAATTCTGGAACGTTCTATCGAGCTTTCAGACTAGCTAACAGTGGAGTGGAGGTAACGACCTTTTGTAGGCCAGTCGCGTGAGATATTTAGCCTTTAGCTCGAGTTAAACAAGAGGGAACACATTAGATATCACTTTCCATGTCCATTTGATATTTATCGGGGTTATTGCGGGTTTCTACGTGGGTATTAAGGTTTCGCGGATGTAGCAGGGGTTTGCAGGGAGTCTTTCAAGTATTCATGAGGTTTTTCAACGGGTTGGGGATCGGCTGGGACTGAGGAACGAGATTTCATCGGACATTTGTGGGTTCCACAGACGAAATTGAATAGAATACAACAGTAATCAATTTTTTCTCTTCCTTAATTCGCGAGTATCTCAACAACGGTTGATCCTACAAAAAAACGTCAAATAAATTTTTTCTTAGAAATATTCTCAGCTACAAAAAAGGTCGGAATACATTTTTCCGCAGGACTGACGGTTTTCGAGATAATCCCCCGTTTGTTGAATCCGTTCAGCGCGGATTTATATTCTCGACCCAGACATTTCTCTTCGATTATTGGAGAATTGAAATTTCTAGAGATGAAAATAGAGATACTCTCCGCGAAAATGATGGCATTACCTCCGATTTATCAATGGAATTCATCATTCATTCAAGTCATCATTGAATAAAAAATAAAGGAATAATCAAATGACTGCCAAACTTAATTAATAATTGCCAATATCTGTTTAGATATCGAAAGCCGTGCGATTTCTCATTGAAAATATCGTGATAGGGAAAAATAATCGTGGAGAATTGAGTACAAATGGACTCACGCAATGCCTCGATTTCAAAAACACACTCAAGAGAGTATTCGTCTTCAGAGTGGTACGTGTATCACTTTCGCCGTGGCCAAGGCTGCGTGACAATCTCACTGGATTCTATTCTATGTATAGTTTTGAACGTCAGTCATTAACACGAGGTGTCTGAAATTCCTGGAATATCCATCCATATTTTTTCGCGATTTCAAATGTTTTTATTTTTTATCTAATTACATTTTTCTTCAGTAATCCGTAAAAACTGCACGATAGTTCCACATTTCATTTTAGTTTTTTGAAATTGATTGTTGTGAGTGGAGAAATCGTCGATTATCTCGTGGACTGTTGATTTTAAGAGCGCATGTCTCTCGACCTTTTTTGTAGCTCACGAAATTCTCCACAAAAAATATTTTATGACATTTTTTTCTAAACCCAGTTATTTTCGAGATATTTTTAATCATAGAAATGATTAGTTCATTCAATGATAAGCGACGCTTTTCACTTAATTCTTTAATTTTCAATAGTCAACGATAATTGAAATAAATAATTGTAGTGATTTCCGTTGAATGATGAGGATGGAATAATGATTGCCCCATCAGAAGGCAATAATTCCTCGCCATTAAAAAAGTTGCGTAATTATCAGGTCACAGATTTAAAACGAATTGAGAGCATAAGTTGAAATGCAGGAAGGAAGGTAGAGCTACACCTGTTCCATTCTCATTTAAACATGTGTGTTGGCTGTATGTGCGTCAAATGAGCAAGAGGAATCTATTTCCGTGGTGCAGGCCGGCCCCAGAGGCCTCGGAGCCAAGGATTTATGTGTGTTTTTGGGGAGGGTCAAGGGAACGAGGGTACAGCGAACAAGTGCGTTAGGGGACACATGCCTAATGCAACACCGGGGAGGTCTAGAATTTATTTCCTTGTGAACTCAATTTCGGTGGGTAGGGGAGGGAGATTATAGGTGTCACGGACTTGGGTCATCATATCACAATCTCTCAATTGTGTTATCGATTGCAGGTGAATAATGCAGCAGTGACTCGTTCGTTTTCATTTTTTTCTGCTCTTTAAGGATGTTTAGCCAATGTCAGTAAATTGTCGGTAAATGTGTTTTTTTTAATGGTCAAGGAGAATTCTGTAATTTTTGCCAGGGACAGGCAATAATATTAGATTTTGACAATATTAAAAAGGATAATCTCCTTATATTGTTCAAAGTTTAACTATATTTAACAAATTTAAAATATTATAGAATTTATGAGCTAAATTTTTTCGATTGATGGTGAATAAAATATTTGATAATATTGAAATGTAATTTTTAGTTAACAAGCCAATTCTAAGATGATCAGTTAAATCAGCTCGATATCAGTTGAATCGCGGGCTCTCATGAAATTTATTTTCAAATTAATAATTCACCTACTAGAAGACTATAAAAATCATACTGAATCCAATGGCCGGAGAAAAACCTGGGGTAGCCGGGCAAAAAGAGGAAATATTAAAATGATTCTATCCCATTCTCAAAAAAATTCAGGCAATGATTGTTCTGAATTCTCAATCTATTAAACATTCAATTAAATCTGACGTTGGATTTTCACAATAAGTTTGAGAGCCAATGATTGCTCAACATGAAAAACTCATTTTTGTTGAACCTACAAGATTAATCAGAAATTCCATTAACGATTTGATATCAAATTGAATTCAAGTTGACACCAGTGAAAATTCAAATGCAGCTGTTATTTAAATTTCAAAAAACTTGTAACAGTGTGAGTGCACCCCTTGAGGCTGTGTCTACAAAGTCTGTGGCTGATTCTATAAATCTACTCTCACTCTCCGTTCAATGGAAATACCAATTCATCATTCTCAGTTTGACCCAAAAAATAGAAAAAAATAATTTAATATTAATTCGGTTATTGTAGAAGACACTTGTATCACCTTAAAGAGGCATTGCAGTCCTCCACAGGCTGTAGTCAGAAGTTGGACGAAATAAAACGAGATCACGAACACCATAAATTGCGTGTACACACGTACATTACTGTTGTATTACGAAAGAGCTGTAAATTGTCAAAATTGGGACACGCATGAGCACACGATGCGTAGAATGCGCACCGAGTCCGATGCACACCTTCGAGAGATAAAAAGTGCGATTTGTTTCCTTTTTGCGTTATTTCTCCCCACTTTTGAGTACGAGAATGGATAGTGCAATTATGTACTAACGCGGATGCCCGCTCGCAATTTGTCCGGAGGAGGGCCTTGGCCGGTTTTCCTTTCAGAGTTTGAAAACCACATACCGGTTTTCTTTGGACAATTGTGTAAACATTGCGAATGGGTAAACATCAGCGCGACTTGTGCTGCACGACATCTTCGCGGATTTTCGTGAAGTTGAGGCAATCATTTCGCGGTGAACAGGTAAAACAGGGGATTTTGAGTATCTCGGAACCTGTGGGAGATGGGGGAAATTTCATCGGGACCTTTTTTGTGGAGGAGAGGAAGACCTTCGAGAAAGGTCGTAATGAAAATTACGCTAGGAGCTGTAGATTCGAAGATATCGATCGAAAACTAGCGTGGAATAAAAGTCGATGACGCGCAATAATCGTTTTTGGTGAATATCTCGGATTTTAGGGGAGATGGCGAAATTTTTGTAAGGACTTTTTTGTAGGGCAGAGTGAGGGCTATAAAAAAGGTCCTTATGAAAATTTTGACAGCTTGCTTGGTTTCGGAGATATTCAGCAAAATCTCAGAGCCGAAATTGGGAAACAAGATAAATTGACTTTAAATTTGCATTCTCAGTTTTTTGTTCATCTCTTTGAATTTATGAGGAATAATCGAACCTTCATGAGACCCTTTTATGTAGATTTCACTCAGCTGTACTAAAGTTCGCCATTTCCCTCACATTTTAAGAAATTCACCCTTCTACGATTTTGCTATTGAATTAATTGGAAAATATCTCCAAAACTATTGATTTTAGAGAAAAATGGTACAAGACATTTTTTGTAGCTCGTGAAATTTCCGATAATAAGTTTCCAACAAAAATTTTTCCACCTCCCTTAGATCCTGAGATATTCACCAAAAGCTGATTTTTTGAAAATTAATTTCTTCAGCTCATTTTGCTTTATCTTCTACACAAAGTAGAAAAATAAATGCAGATTCCTATATTATCGACAGAGGGCCCAACAATACCGACCACAGGTAAGTGACTGGTTTGTCGTCGATAAGACAGATTCCAAAAGGTAATAAAGGCACCTACCTTTACTGGTTTCAGGCATGAGGTTCTCTGTTTTGATGTCTGCCCTCGCGGTATAAGGCATCGAGGAGGACGGAGATACTTGCGTCGATGGTGCAGCCAGTTTTTCTATAATAAAAAAACAGAATTTAGAATTTTTTATATTCTCAAAAAAAAAGTTTCAAAAATAAAAAGGAAAAAAAAATAAACTATCAATTGTTTCCCATCAGTTTTAAATTAATATCTTCCTCCAATAATTAGGGGAAATTGAACTTCGTAAAAAAGAACTAGAGATATTTAAAAAATAAATATAAAGAATTTGTAGTTTTCCTAAAATAATTGCCTTTCAGCCAGAAAAAAAAATGTGATAAAAATAAGGAATAAAATATAAAATTGCCTGCAACAATTTTCCCCTGAAACCAGTTATCCAACAATCTTCTCCCCCAATGCACGAGAAAAAAAACTCACAAGTGAATGAAAAATAAAAACGAAAAACTTTCTACACAATATCTCATTTGGTCCGATGCACGCCCAGTCAATTAGCCCCCATCAGACATAACTATTTAAATTTTCCCCCAAGAGCGGCTAAATTCATTTCCTCGAACTGAAATGAATTCCCTGGCACTCAATGCACAATTTCCCACTTTGTAACCGTGGCTGGTGGCTCGTATTTACAGGCCATATAAATTTAATGGTGTCTCACCTGCTAAAAGTGGATTTGCCGCGGCGATATTGTACCTCTGCCGCCTGTAAGAATTGACGGTTGATGTTGTTGTTGATGTTGGTTGACTTGCCTCAGCGAGATCCGCCTGCAATTCTCGGAGAAAAGTGTCGAGTGGATCGAAGGGCTCTTCGTTAACCCCTGACATACCCTCAGCTTCCTCTGAAGGCACATGGGTTGGGGCAGCTGGTGCACCGACAAGAGCATTCAACTCCATCGTGGAGAATTCAACCGACTGGCCAGTACTACTTTCCTGAAATATTATGAAAACAATTAAAAACGTATCCCTTCACATCAGTGGCGAGACCAATTTAAAAAAGTTCAATTGATCATCGAGCATTCCGATTTTATTTTCTTTATTTTTCGAGAATATAATTCACACTGTCCATCTCATGGCCACTATTTTAACCCCCGTGACCCTTACTTTGACCTTCGTGATTCTTATAGCCCTTGTGACCCTTAATTTTGGAGTCACAATTTGGAGTACCATTTTTTCATCACTTGAAATCGATGTGGATTTTTATCAACCCAGCTGTGACATTTCCTCTTCGTTGTAAACAAATTAATACAATTTCATTGATACATCGATATTAATATACTCTCTCAGTTTATTTGACGCGAGTTTAACGCGTTCCTCTATGTAGAACATCAGCCCCACTGTTTCTCATCTCGCTTCATCCTCAATTACTCCCCAATCCATTATTCAATGGTAATTAACATCAAACGATTGGTGAATTCGTCGAGAATGCAAATCGAATTTTGTCATTTCGTTGAATCACAAATACTTCCGTACCGAGTGATTTCCGGCCAAAATGTCATAAAAAACTTTTCGTAGAGAATTGAATTTCCCACAAAAAATATTTTACGACATTTTCCCCTAAAATCAGTTCTTATCGAGATAAATCGACATCTAATTCGACGTAAAAATGACTTTTGGAAATTGAGTTGACAACATTGTTCAGTAATTAGTGAGATATCTGGATGATGAGTGATTTTAGAGCGAAATGTCATAAGAAACTTTTTGTGGAGAATTGATTTTCCTACAAAAAGTGTCTGAAGCATTTATCTCTCAATCCACTAGCTCTTGAGATCTCGGCAAAGGGCTGTTATGGAGCGTACGAACCTGGAGGCACTGCGTCAGATCCACCATCTTCCCATCGTTATCGGGGCACCAGAGCAGTTCATCATCTATGAAGGGCATGTTTGACTCCTCCTTGGGTACAAGACTGGAGGTGAGCGTCAGGGTTTGCGATACAGGGACCGGCATTGGGACCTGTACCTTGCGGTGGGGCTTGTTTAGCCACCTCCGCGCCTGCTAACATCCAAAATCACCGTCCAGTGTCCACCGCCTCCCACCTTGTGACAATTATCTCTCTTTGCCCTGAAGAAAATTCCCAAACCATGAGTATTCAACATTTCATATGGACGTCAATTTCGAGGACAGAATTAACAAGTGAATTTGAAATTGTTTCTATATTTAGAACTCTTCATCTTTAGAATTGTCACAGATTGGTGACATTTTTATTTAATTCAATTCAAACTGAGGTAAGAATAGATTTATAGAATATTCTGAGAGATATTAATTTTTGGTAACTGAGATGGGCAAGTGAATAAACGGCATGACCACGTCGAACAGAAGGTTTTATCTCCAAATGTGACATTTTCAATGTTGTGAAGTTGAAGTCAATTTAATATCAAATCGCTCATGGAATTTCTGATAAATCTTGTAATTTCATCAAAAATGAGGTCTTCGTGTTGAGTATTGAAGATCACATTCAATTGATTATTAGATCTTGGATTTTTCCAGGGGGAAAGTCGACTTTCGGCAAAATATAACGATTCTGATGGTAATGAAATCCTCGGGAGCCCCAGAAATGCAGAAATAATTTTTTTTTCAAAGAAAGTAGATTAAAACTCAAATATCTCAAAACCCAAAAAATTCATCAACCACAAACAAAAAAAAATTTACTCATCCATTGAATCCCACTAAATCTGGCAATTAATGTACAAGTTAATTAACGAAATAATTAAGGAGTAGAGTTCATTCACTGGCATTCAGCTAAGGAAAAAAAATAAATCGCGTGAAGAGGCAGGGACCCCGGCATTTCCATGAAAGTGAAAACCGAGTGAAAACTTTCTTTCAGTTAGTTGTTTCACTTCCTGTGAGCGTAACCTCGGCTTCTCTTCGTGGCTGCATTTTCTATGCAGCCTCTACTAGTATTTTACGTAATCGCAACAGCCGAGAAAGAAAGTTTTCTGGTGAGGTTAACATCCTCTCGAGCTATACACGTATTTAAATCTCACTTTTTTTATTTATTCATTTCTCCCGATCCTTTCATCACCGGGGGAACAGCACTCCGGGGTTCAATGTCTCCTGTTGGGTTATGGATGGGACAACCCTGGATTACTACAAGGCATTACCACTGCCATTGTTGTTAATTAATGAGGGTTAGAGCGAAAAGACTTGATGGATTGAAATTCCAGTTGAATTTCAGGAGTTTGTTAGTTAATTGGAATTTATCTCGTTAATGAGTGGATCTAGAGCTAAATATCATAGGACACTTTTTGTAGCTTATGAAATTCTCCGTAAAAAATCTCCTGTGAAATTTTTTCATACGATCACTCATTATTGAGATAATTTCTGAGACGTATTTGTCAAGTGCTCTGTGCGGTATATAGTCAAATGGAGGTATTCCTCATTTTTCATATCCGAGTGCGAATTAAATAAATACCATCAATTATAGTCATTTTTCTATACCATATTTTAGTTAGTGGGTCCACCGGACCCGCTAATAACAATGAATTCCCAAAGTGAAGTTCCCAACAGTGCAGTTCCGTCTCAGGACAGTTCTAAACCCTCTTACGTAACTATGGCAAGGTCCTCAGCCAAGTTTGTTTTCGAACAGGCTATTATTTTGGATAAAACAGCCCCTGGCAATCACGAGGACTACATCATGGCCCTCACGAAAGTTGTTCCTATTTCGAAAATGTCTTCTACGGATGAAATTATTAGGGGTAGAATCATTGTATGGCTTGACAGTCAGGGGACTGTGGATGCATTGATTGACTCCAAGAAATTTATCGTTGTATCAGGTCAAAAAGTGTACATTCGTCCTTATGTCACTAGGAATAGGCGAGTTCTCTTTAGCCACGTATTTCCTCAAGTTGAGGACAGTTTTCTAGAAGGAGAACTGAATAAAAGGGGGATCAATCTCCCAGGCCCGATTACAACCTGTAGAGCTGGATTTAGGAATAAAAGCATTGCCCATTTACTGAGTCAAAGGAGACAAACGTATATCGCCCCAGAGGATGTCAACAAACTACCGAAACGTCTCGAAACCACCATACAAGGCAGGACCATTGTTATTCTAGTTAGCGCTGGGTGTTTTGAATGTCAGGAAGAGGGGCATATTGCCAAAAATTGTCCGGTGAGAATTAATAGAATTAAAACCAACACATCAACACCTCCTCAGCTCTCTCATGATCACACCGATTTCCCTGCGTTAAGGAATAAAACCACAACGACTGTTTCCCCCACTGTGATAATTGATCCCCCTCCCGTCAGCTCCAACAAGGCTAAGTCAGTCTATCCTAATTTCGATTCCCCCCCTTTTCTGCTACCTCAAAGTTCATCAGCAGAAAAGATCCCTGAGTCACTCCCCACCTCTTCCCCTGAGGAGGTGATTCCTGTGGCCGAGAAAATCGACGAGGATACAGAACGACACTCAGACACCGAATCCACTATATCTACTCAGTCCCACCAGTCGGAGGGAAAACGAGCTCTTCACCAAAAGAAGAGATTTAGAGCTTCTCGATCTCCATCCACATCGCGAGAGTCGATCAACTCCGGCAGCACAACTGACTCTTGGGAACATATTGAATGTAGGATTCTCGACGACTCGATAGGATTCCCGGTGAACTCACAACAATTTCGGGAATTCTTCGAAACCACGAATAACATCAATAATGTTATTACAAATGCCTCCAGATTCACTGATAAATATAAAGAATTTTCAGTCATGATTGAAATGTTTAAAGACCAGCTACCCACCAAGACCATGAGAAATCGTGCAGTGAAGATCATCAAAAAACNAATCTAAAAAATTCAGCAATTGTAATTACCCAACTTTTATAAATGTCTAATTTTCTCGTTAATGAGTGGATCTAGAGCAAAATGTCATATGAAACCTTTTGTAGTTCATGAAATTCTCCACAAAAAATCTCTTATAACATTTTCTCCCAAAACGGCTCATTACCGAGATAATAAAAAATCTAAAGAACCGTAAACCATAAAATCTGCATTTTTACACTGAAAATCCATTTATGATTTTTTATTTTATGAAATAAAATTCTGAAGGGTTTAAAATTACCATTTTTCCGCGCGCCACGCAGTTCCAACATGGCGGACGATGCCGAGAGCTCGTCAGACGAGAGTATCGACCTGACAGCTCAGAATTTCGATCCCCTCAAGGCGTTGTACTCCCCAAAAACTGTTATTCCAGTTCCTGGAGCTCCCACGTACGATAATCTAACGAAATGGGAGTCTGCCTTCAAGGGAATATCCGTAAAGGTCAGTTCCCGATGAGTTCAATGTGTTGTTTACACTTTTGTCGGGAGAATTCAGTCTTTTTTCGCGTTTTTTTGAGGTTTGAAGTGCGATTTTGTCGTTTTTTTGCAGAAAAGCGTGAAAAAGGGCGATAATGAGGACAAGCGGAGGTTTCTGCCGCATCAAGGTGAGTTGACATGACTTTTTGTTCAGCCACGTGAAGCCCACGACTCGACATGCACGCGGGGTGAGGTTGGACTGGTCGCGCACGCGTTTTCGGGGGGGAAGCGCCTCACAGATGGCGCCAGGGGCTCCATTTACGATTCGAACTTTGGGCGGAAGCGGGAGAATTCAATGGGAGGGGGGTGGAGGGAGGATTGATTGAGTGCGTAAATAGACGCGTGAGAGATAACCGTAATCGTTTCATAATATTGATACGGGGATTAATTGATAATCAGGAAAGTGATGAAATGAGTTTGGATTTGGTGGGAATCGACGAGATGCGAATTTTTGGCGTTAATTATCTCGGTGATGACTGGTTTTAGAGAGAAATATTATAGGGTATTTTTTGTAGGGAATTTAATTCTCTACGAAAAGTTTTTAAAAATGTTTTTGTCTAGAACCACGCGTTACGGAGATATTCACGGCTCAACGAGATGGAAAAATTGGACTTGCATTCGCGACGAATTCACCAATCGGTTAATGTTGATTACCATTGAATAATGGATTGCGCAGTAATTGAGGGTGAAGCGAGATGAAAAACAGTAGGGCTGATGTTCCGAGAATCAAAGAGAATAAAAATGTAAATGTAAATAAACCAAACGGTTTTAGTTCAACATTTAACGATCCCCCACTCCAACTCCACTTGAATGAATCGAAAGATCTACAACCCAGTCCCCTCCCCCGGGAATTTGACCTCAGAGTGCGTCAATGAACGTGCACGTAAAGCCCATTGTTTCCATTCCACCAGTGGCCGTCACCTTCCGTCAATTCTCGCGTCAAAACCCCGACGAAAAACCCATTCAACGTCAGCCAATTTCACCTCTGATCTGGCATGGACAGAAGACGGCTCGCGATGATCCGCACGGAACATTAAAACCCTCGACTCCATCACGAGAGAAGGAAAAATAAATTGAGGAGAAAGGTGTGAAGAATGGGATCAACAACAAAGAAATTAAAATCTCATTGCCAGTGCCGTCACACTGATAAAATTCCAAAAAACTGAACAATCATCAGTCCTCATTTACATTCAAACTAAAATGAGAATAGGTTTACAGAGAATTCTGAGGGATATTAATTCGGTAACTCAGATGAACTGAAGGGCCCCAGCAATGAGGCCCTTGTACACAGCATCAAGGGCTGCAGCACTCACTGTCACAATTTTTTTGAAATTTAAATAACAGCTGCATTTAAATTTTCAATGGTGTCAACTTGAATTCAATTTAATACCAAATTGTTGTTGTTGTTTAATACTAATTTCAATAAAAATTGAATGTTTGGAAAGTTCACGTGAATTACTCGTTGTTAAAAATTTCATAATAATTTGTGGACCATTTTCTCGATATTATTATTTACTCAGTGAAATACTCAACTCCTCTTTCAATCAACATCGCCTAAACGTTCAAATATCTCTCTCGTTTTCTCTCCCAAAACAATTATTCCAAACACATGTCATCGTGAAACCTTCAATCATCTTCAATCTCAATTAATTAATTAATTAATTAATTAATTAATTAATTAATTAATTAATCATAAAAAATCTAAAAAATTTCAATTAATCTATAAAAAAAATTTAACTCATCACTCAAACGAAAACTAAAATCCCTAGCCCTAGCCCCCAAGCTCTCCAATTACCCCCCCAACCTCCAGTCCTCAAATGAAATTAAATCCGAAATCGCTTGAAAAAGGTGTTCCTCCCCGCGGCCCCGAGGGGTAGATATATCTGTTGGCCGCCGGCCAATAGCTCTCGGTAGTTGATAAATCACGGATCCCTGACCCAGTGCAGTTTTATATTTACACGGACGCGTGGTGCGCACACTCATCGCCTTTATCTCCCCTTTCTTTCTCCTCTCTATTCTCTCCTCCACCCGGCGGGGTGGAGGAGGGGTGGAGGGGGGGGGAGGAGAGAGAATTTATACATTGGTAATCCGGTGAAATGTCTTCGGCGGTCGTAAAACGCGCACACGGAGGTGAAAATGATGGAGAAAAATCATAAGAGCGGTGGGGGCGAGGGTTGCAGGGGGTCAGGGGGAAGGGTAAAACGTGTGTTAAAATGTAATGAAGGGGTGGGGTGGATATTGCGGTGTGTGTCTGTGTGTACAGCACTTGTTGCGTCCGGGCGTCGACCTCGGTTCAACCCGCGGCGCCGACATAACCGATGCACGCTTCACTTGTGTGTGCATACGTGGGTAATATGGATTATTAATGAATTAAACTGGGGGACATTGTTTTGCGAATCGAAGCGATGATTTTTTTTTTTACGAATGGGGAGACCTGAATTCAGGGTTTTGAGAGGGTTTTTTTAGGCGCACGGAGAGAAATGCTCAGTAAAAATTACGGAACTCAGAATTCGCTCATCGATTACGGAATCGATTCAGAAAATTTAAGTGACGGCATCGTAATTTTTCAGAGGCGATTCAGATAAAAATGACGAAACGCTCTGGAAAAATTCCGTGACAGTTCCGTAAAATTTCCTACAACCACATTTCGCTCCGGAATTACGGAAAAGATACGTAATTTGTATTTTGAATGTTTCCTCCGTGCAGTGAAAAAATAATGAGTTTCTACCTTTTCATAAAGAATGAAAAAATGGCTTTTACGAAAATCCATGCAACGTTTTCACCGACCCATTCGACTATAGTTTAACTATTCACAGGTATTACTATGGGCATAACTATAGTTCAATAGCGAAGTGGTCAAACGGTTGAAGTCCGTTTAGTCTTTAGGTGAGTTTTCCAGAAATAGTTCCGAATTTAAAGGAGACGGCGAAATTTTTATAATTACTTTTTTCGTACAGCGAATTGTGGGCTATTAAAATAAATCAATTTCAACTTCGAATTCCCAGTTGTTCATCTTCCATTCATTTCTACGGGGAATAAATGAATTTTCATGCGGCCCATTTAGGCAGACCTCCCTCAACTCTCCAAAAATTTCACTATTTCCCTAGATTCCGAGATATTTTTCAAAAACCGATGCGTTCCACTGAAATTATCGTTTTTCCGACTTTCCCACCGCATTAATCCCCAAATATCTCCAAACCTATCAACTCCACAAAAAAAGTCAAGAAATCATTTTTGTAGCTCTCAAAATTCCCTCCAAAAAGTTCTGGACAAAAATTTCTCCACCTCCCACGGATCCGGAGATATCCACCAAAAATCGAAAGCCGATTGATCTCCGCCCGGATTTTTCTCTCTCTCCCAATTTTTGCACTGACTCATCTTCCCCAAAAATCCAGCAATGCCAAACCATGAAAAAAAGCGTTGATTCTATAACCCGGGCAATGATCGCGTCACACGCAAAGAGTCGACGGCACTTGTTGCGCCCGGGCGTCGACCTCGCAATACAGAGTGTGAGGCACTTGAACGCATACCACGAATGAGAACGACGAGAGAAGGCGAATTTTCTTCCCTCGAAACGATTGTGTCGGCATTGTTCACAAGACAGGGTTACATTCTTGTTATTTTCACGATGTACGAGTAGTTCTGCACACTAGGATTTTTTTTGTCAATTTAATTCAACGTAAATAAACACTCGGAGGGAGGGGCACAGCGAGAGGTGGGGGGATTGCGTCACAGGGAGATTTAGAAGTGCAGCGGAGGCTGCGCTGGAGACGGAAATACTTCCGACGTTAATCACTAACAGTTTAATTCAATTCACATGACCTAACCCAATGTTTAATTATGAATTTAACCCAGATAATGGTCACGATGAATTTCAATTCGCGATTGAATTAAATTAATTGGGGAATGAAAAATGGGGGCAGTCGTTGGGAGGATTTGCGGGTCGCGAGGAGAATTTTTCGTTGGATTCAACTTGTGCTGGGAAATGAATTTGAAAGTAGAAAAGTGTTCTGATGATTTTGTTGATTTTTTTTCTGTGACAGCTTTTGGTGGGTGTCTCCGAAAAGCCGAGGGAGATGGAGAAATTTTTGCAGAAATCTACATAAATGAGCCTCATGACATTCACCTCTTCCCCAGATTTGTATAGATTTACCAAAAAACTGGGAATTTCAAGTTGAAGTTAATTTATTTGGTTTCACCACGAAGTTTTTGTCGAATATCTCTGAATCCAAGGGAGATGGCGAAATTTTTATTGGAAACTTTTTATAGGAAATTTCATGGGCTGCAAAAAATGTTTTATGACATTTTTCTCTAAAGTGGATAGGTTTAAAGATTTTTGTGAATTAATTCATTAGAAAAGTCGTGAAACAGTCAATACCACTTGAAGATGGATCAATTTCTAAAAAATCTCTCGCAATCTGGGAACAGCAAAATGTTTGTAAAGCTGAGTGAGATTTGCATAAATAGGCCTCATGAAATTCATCTAGATTTACCAAAAAACTGGGACTTCGAAGTTGAAGTTGATTTATTTAGTTTCAAAAAATTCCTATCGGAAACCAACAAAATCGCAAACACTCAATTACTCTCAGAGATCCTCACCAACATGTCCCCATCTCCCTTCAATCCCCTATATCCTCCAAAAACTGATCATCCCACTGGTCTACTACACCGAGTAATCGATTTTCATTCCACTCGTTTCCCAACCCCTCTCCTCCAAAAAAAAAAAATTCACCTCCCACAGCCCCAGAGAACCCCAAAAACCCGCGAAATTAAACCTCAATTATTCCCCCCTCTCCCCC